AAGTAGTGTTAATAATGCATTACACTAGACGTTGATTCAAAGACATTTAAGCAATGCACTATGAGTCCATTGTTCATCATCCTATGACGCATATTGTCAGAGCAGCTACTTGCTCTCTCCTTAGCTCAAGTGAGCTAAATCAGCACACAGGCCAGTGGATTGGGCAGTGCAGAACAGCCCAGGCCATCAGATAGCAGCTGTTCACAAGACAGGTACTATATTGAACATGGTAACAAACAGAAAATTAGTGGAAACAAGAATAAGATTTTACTGTTCCTGGCAAGGAATTCAAACAGGTATGAGAGCAATCAAGTTACAGAATTATTTCCACTTGATTCAGTAGCAGCTGTACAGCTGTGTTCCACTGTGAGATGGACTGGATTTCCGTTAATTCAAGCTATGAGATGGGACTCCAAGGCACATTAGGCATCAAAGCTCAGAGGCCCCATCCTGCTGCCACCTTCACTACCTTTCAGTGCTGCGGAGGGCAGAGTGAGGGGCAGGAGGCTCCAACTGCTTTCAGCTGGTTTTTATTTTAATCACTCCTGTACATTTTCTCCTCTTTGCTTGTAAAAGAGATGGACACATGGAGGGCAGCAGCTGTTTACATCTTATCAGCAGCATTAGGTACTTTAGAGACTACCAGGAAAGACCCAGGTACGAGCCACTCCCACTTGGCAGGACTTTGGACCACAGCATAGAGCTGCTGTGCCCAGACAGACGAGGCTTTCTCTACCAGCTCTGCCCCTAGCAACAAGGTTTTCAAGATTTCCAATTTCTCTGTCCTCAGGAAAATGCTCTCTTTCCTCCTATCCTTCCTGTTCTTTTTTAAATGACCAATACAGTACTTGCCCAAAGAGCTATGAGCAAGATGCAGTTGACAGTCTAGGAGCACACCTTGCTGCTCTCAAGAGAGCTGTTAACTGGGAGTTTTTTACAGAGGTGAACGTCAGTCAGCGTAAATACAGAGGGAGACTCCATGTGCTCCAGAACACAAAGGCTGTTGGTTAATGGGTGGAGGGTAGGGCTTGCCTCTCAGATTGTGCATGCAGGCCAAGCAGGTAAAACTGCCCAATTCTTTTTAGTAGTAGTATATAGAAACTGTTGTGGTGAGGGGTTTATTGTTTATTTTAACTTAACTCATGCTGAAGGGAAGCTGCCAATAGCTGATGCACCATCACAAGTTTGTGTATGCACCTCTTTTACCCATGATCTAGATAATTTGTAATAAAACGGAAGATGTTCTAGCTTGGCCCCAGGGCCCTGCTCAGTTGGTCATGGTTGGGGAGGCAGAATAGCTGGGAGCAAGACAGAGTACAGCATCATCTCTTCTTGATGCAGACACATGCACAGAGGCTACCACCCCAGAGTCTGACACCATCCAGTGCTCTGGGGTTAAAAACAATCCCCTCATGCAGGCCTGGATGGGATCAAAAGCTCAAGATAACTCTGTGTGCCCCTGTAGTTCCTGTTTGTGCTATCTCCCCAGGGAGACCTGTCCTAATGCCTTCTCCTAGGAGTGATGAGCTGGAAAAGCAGCTGCGGCCCCCAGCTGTGGCAGTGTTTCCTGCAGTGCTGCAGGAATGCTGCAGGAGCGGGTGCTGCAAGAGTAAGCACTGCAGAAACACAAAAATGCTTCAGGAACACTGCTGGAACACTGCCGGAGTGCAGGAATGCTGCAGGAGCACTGCAGGAACACTGCCAGAACACTGCAAGAGTGCTGCCGGAACGCTGCAGGAGCGTTGCACCAACGCCGCAAGAACGCTGCGGGAGCGCTGCAGGAGCGCCACCTGGCGGGTCCCGCCCTCCGGCCGTGCCAAGCCCCCTGGGGCACTCACAGCCGGACGTACCTCGAACAGCGTTCAGCAAACGCTGCTGGGGCAGCTGTGTGATTCGATCATCTCCAGAGGACGTGTAGGAAAGGTGACAGGCTTTTCCAAGCGAGCATGATCATAAGGCTTTTTCGGCCTCAGGTGGGTTTTGTTAGGTAAGAGCTGATAAATTAGCATGGACTCATCTTCTGAGAATCACAACTGTCAGGCATATGACTTCATAGGGCAGGAGAAACCTAAAGCATATAAGGCTGCTAGAGTGCAACTCATTTTACTCTAGCACCTAACAGAATTCTAAGAGAAAAGCAAGACCTTCTTGTTTAACTCCACTATCATCACCCCCATTTCATGCCTTTTGTAATTGCCAGGATCTCTGTTGTTAACTCGAACGTAAAGCAGAACATACAAGCTCATTGTGCATGGTGATTAATTCTGTTAGCATCACTATTTCTATCCTTGATAATTTGCTTATTACATGAGACCTCATGGCAAAGCATTGGAGTGGCAAAAAGCAGCAGAATAGAGTCCATCCTAGCCCTGGTCTCTCTCTGAAAACAGCCATCCTCAGCTGCTGCATAGGAGGCCTTAAAAACATCCCAAAGGGAGAAGCTGAGTAACCTTCCCTTATAGAAAGCTCCCCTTGTCTGCTAGCTGGTGCTATATAAATCCATGTAAACCTATCAGATCTTCAGCCTTGCCATCCCACCTAGAGTCTATACAGAGATAACAGCAATACAATTACATTGAGCTACTGAAGAAAAAATTGTAACTGGAGTTTCAGAGCTGCAGCTTGGGACGACCGTGACTGACATGTCAATAAGCACTTAACAGCCATGCAATAGAGAAATTACTGTCTCCAGTTCTCACTGTTAATCTTTATGGAAGCATAAAGACTTAACTTACTGGAGACTTATTTGCTGGGATACCTGATCCCTGGTGATGAGCTGAGAAATCATCATTTTAGGTATTCACCAGTACCTGCATGCTTCGCTTTCTTACCACTGAATTAAAACAGGGAAGAAGGGCCAGTGCTCAAACACTTTGGTCTGCTCTAACTCTTTACCAGTCAGAAGTGGCAACTAAGAACATTCAGAACGTGTGGTACTGAAGAGAAAAATTGAGACTCCTGTCTGAAGTAGCAGGGGTGAGACCATCATACTACTAATGACATATACTGCCTTGCAGTCTTCAGGCAAGACAGCCTAAGAGCTGGCTTAGTCTTTAGTGAACAAAGATGGTTCTTACCCTAAGCAGCTGTGGTACTCTTATTTGTGGCTTTATGGTCAGCCAGTGTCTCACAGAGGCAGTGTCAAGATTTTTGAACAGACCTCCTTTTAAACAGACAAAAGCCTCAGCAGAACAAGGGAGGTTCCCTTTCTCCCTCTTTCACCATCACAGCCTAGCTGTCTTCAGGGAGCTGAACTCTGATCTAGAAGACACGACTCTTCCAAGCAGCTTCTGTTCTAGATACTGCTTTGGTGCTCACAGTTTTATGAGGCAAGTGACCTGGTCCTGCTTCCATCACTCCATAGTCCATGACTTGATCCTGGTGCTCAATTTCAGCAGCTCTCCTTTAAAGTCCCAATAGCGCATTGGATAATAGCTCTGAGTTCACAAAGTTCCTGGTAACTGGAGGGAAAGCACAAAGTGTTGAGTGCTCACTACTGGAAGATGCTGGGCAGACAAAAGTAGATAGTTTATCCCAGGAGACAGTATGTTGTTGTTCTCAGTGTGGACATAACTACTGTTTATCCATGCAGGCACCTACAGGTGGCAGACAGAAGCACAAATCTACCGGTTGAACAAATTAGGCAGTCCATGAGTATCTCTAGCTAGATCAGCTCCCATGGGGAGAAAACAATCCCAGCTTTATGTGGAAAAATACCAGCTCAGCACAGATTATGTGGGAGGAAGATCTTGGGAGTTTCACAGAACTAAAACTTAATAATATATGAAGAATAAACTACAGAGAAAAGCATTACGCAACTGTATAAAGTCTTTTTAAGCCCTCTATCTCAAAGAATACAATGGAGATTGAACAGATACAGAGAACAGCAGCAAGACTGATCAAAGTATGAACTGGAAAGAGCTGAATACACTGAAATTCTTCAGTCAAGACCGACTGAGGATCTGGCAGAGGTCTATAAACCCCTGAGTTCCTTGGAGAGCATGAAATGGAAAACTGTACAGTCACTCGATACAACACTGCAGGCACCAAAAGAAAACAGGTGTCAGGTTCAGACCACATGAAATACAACGAAGCTTGAGAAGTCCGTAATGAGGAAGTATGAATGCTGTAAATTTACATAGATTTAAAAAGTAAAAAAAAAAAACCACCCCAAAAAACAAGATGGAAAACATTTCTAGAAGGTCCTGCCAAGGGCTATTACACACACAGATACCACAATTTGCTAAATAATGAAGAACTCTCTGGGGGAATACAAGTCCATGTTTGTCACCTTCTTATATGCTTCTTGTCTCTAAAAGCACAAAAAGGGCAGAGAAAAAGATGCCCCCAACACACAGCAGGCAAGGTGCCACGTATGCGGCACCCGCCAGTGGGGTCACTGATGCAGCCCCCTTCTGCAGGGAGCCGCAAAGAGCCATTACTTTCTGCCGTTCCCGTACGCGTTCTGGCGGTCCGTCAGGATCCTCGGGGTCCCAGACCACCGTGGTCGGTCTCCCTGGTAGCCGGGGCTCTCTGCGGGCCCCGCACCCGCGCACCCCGAAAGGCCTTGGTCGGGCTGCCCGAGAACCGCACCGGCTGGGTGGGACCCGGCGGGAGGGAGCGCGGGGCGGCCCAGGCCCCGCAGCCCCTCCCCACGGGCGGTATCACAGGCTCCGCGCAGGTCCCGCCCGGCGCCGGGACAGGGGGAGCGGAGCGGCGGGACCGTGCCCAGCGCAGCTCCGGATTTCTTCGCGGCCCGGCTCCTGCCGTGACCGAGGAGTATGAGGGTGCGGCCGGACACCCCTCCGCCGCAAGGGCCTGTGGGGCGGGCTGCCGCCGCGGACCGGAAGCGGAAGCGAGCGGCGTCCCAACCTGCGGTACCTCTGGGGCGGCTGGGCCGCGCGGCACGGGGCCGCGGCCCGGCTCTTTCGCTTCCTCCCGGGAGCCGGGGGTAGGTGCGTCTGCGCTGCTGGCGGGAGCCGGCGGAGGCGAGCGGCGGGGTGTCCCTCCGCGGCGCTGAGCGGTGGCGCGGCCCGAGAGCGGCCCATGGACCGGCACAAAGTGAAGCGGCAGCGGCTGGACAGGATTTGCGAAGGTGAGGTGGGGCGGGCGGCCTCCGGCTCCGGCTGCGGCGCGCCGCGTGGGGCCGCGCCCGGCGGCGGGGAGCAGCAGCAGCCAGGGCAGAGCGCCCTTGTGCGGCGGGGCCGCGGGCCCGCAGCTGCTCTCCCCGTTGAGCGGCGCTGCGCGGCGGCCGCCTGTCCGGTCCTGCCGCCTGCGGACACGCTTCCACCCAGCGCTTCCGCGGCACGCTGCCTGCGGCGGGGAACGCCGCGGCTTCTAGGGAGGGGCGACTGTCAGAGCCCATGAGCGTACGGGTTCTTGTGCGCTGTTAAGCAGGAAACAGACTCTGTCTTGGCACGCTGGGGAGGGAAGGGGCTAGTTAACGGGCAGTAGGCCTGAAGCGGCTTTGTAACTACTTTTGAAAGGCTAGGGGAGGGAGGCGTGTTTCTGAGCAGACCACTTCGATTATCTCATGATTGATAAAACGTGGCTTATTTTTCTTTTTATCGTGGTGGCAGAGGTTTGTGTTTGTTTGTTGGTGTTTTTCTTTCTCTAGCTTAATTTCCCTGTTTGTTTACTGTTTCTTTCTTTTGCGTTGACTAATCCCTTCCGAAGTACTACAGAACGGGAACAGAACTAATGACTTGTTGGACTAGCAAATGAGACTCAGAATTCTTGTCTTTCATGTAATCACTCCTGCTGACTTTTTTAATAGGCATACGGCCTCCTATCGTGAATGGCCCAATGCCAACACGGCCACTGGTTGCACTCCTGGATGGACGAGATTGCACTGTGGAGATGCCCATCTTGAAGGATGTTGCTACAGTGGCATTTTGTGATGCTCAGTCAACTCAGGAAATCCATGAAAAGGTGGGCACAAAAATGCGCAAGCATTCAGACATAGAGTTCTGCTTCTTGGGCTAACTGAAGCAGACTGATTTGCCCTGGTTTTTGTTGTAGGTGCTGAATGAGGCAGTAGGAGCTCTGATGTATCACACCATTACCCTTTCTCGTCAGGATCTGGAGAAGTTCAAAGCCCTCAGGGTCATTGTGCGCATTGGCAGTGGTTATGACAATGTTGACATCAAATCTGCTGCAGAATTAGGTATGATGACACCATTAGAGCTCTGTTGTGATCAGAACTAAATGGGAACTGGAACACTGCACATGTTTTTCTGTTTTGTAGCTGGGTACGTTTTAGATCTTCTATGTAAAAACCCTTGAAGCTGCTTAATATCGGGCATTTTTAGGAAGCTGATGATATCAGAGTTATTAGGCAGCTTGAATGAAAGATTCTTAGCTCAGATTGCTCTGCTATAGGTGTCAGTGTCTCTGCTGTTGTTTGGGATTCAGAAACCTGAGTATGATGTCCAGGTAATTTTTGGTGAGGCAGCTTTAGGTTGTTTGTGAGAAAAAAATTCAGCAAACTCTGACATCCAAAAGCAGCCTGCAAATACTGGTCCAGGATAAACTCACTGTAAATGCTTGATAAGTGAGTTTTCCTGTTACTTTTTTATATGCACGTAGGTTCTGATTCAACACTGTTACTGATTCCTTTAGAGCCCTATGCATGTGAAGAGTCTGGATCAAGTGACCAAAGCTGCCAGACAGTGAGACTTTCAGACCTTGTAGTCCCCCAGGTGATGTAGGTCATTTAAGTACCCTGTTCCTTCTTATTTTGGGCTTGTGTAAGTGATTTGAAATCTTTCTTAACATGCAGATTAGATTAAGCTTAAATCAAACGCATGTAAAATTGATATAGGTGTTAAAAATTCTGGATCTGTAAGAGCAGCTGAATTGCAAGTAAAAGAGGAGAGCTTATTTGTCTAGTGCTTGAATTAGGTCTTCTGGTCTGAATGATTCAACTGAAGGCTCAAGAGTTCCTGGCAAGGTCTCTGGTTCTCATCCAGCCATTATGTTTTTGGGCTGAGTTTGGAAACTGATCTACTCTTGGGCTTTTCCAGTTTCCATAGCTTTGATTCAAAGCTTTCCCCCCACTCTACACTAATTAACTCAAAGAGAAATGAATGGGTAAAATTCTTTCACCATCAAGACTGCTGCTTGCCAGTTTTGCTTTGGAGAAGTACTGTGATGACCCCCAGGCATGGCCAGATTTCCTTTATCATGGACAGCTAATGGTTATTTTCCTAGTTACCCAGGCCCTTTAGTTCATTCTGAGGTAAGATACTGTTCCTTATGTGTTCTGAGTCTTCGAATCAGAACAAAGGGCTATTGTGTGTGCTTGCTTTTCTTACATTTAGGCATAATATTGCATGTAAACACAAATCGATGTCCCGTTGTGTAAGAGATGAATGCATGTGGCTTAACCTGAAGTTGACTGAGGTGGTAACCAGTGAGATTAAAAGAAGTTAGGTTTCCCTGTCTTCTCATGTCTCTGAGTAGTCTATGTGGTATTACAGCACAACTGCATAGGGTTTCGTAGAGATTCCCTCGTTCTCTTGGGAGAACATAGTCTGAGTTTAGTCAAATGTTTCCTCTGTAAGGGGCTTACAAAAGAGTGATGCATTGCTGAATTTTGTGTGCCTTCAGCCATTGCCTAGATGTTGTGCCTAGTTTTAGGATAGGTGGTAGACTTCTGAGGGGGAGAGTTTTCTTGGTTTGGCAAGTGGCGATGGTTGCATTTGGGAAGAGACCATTTTTAATCTAATTATTTTTATTTCCTAGCTGCATTGTTGACTGAAGGACAGCCACAACAGGGAAAGACCAGATTTTGCTACAGTGTTCCATCTTTCCGTTTTATGACAGTATTTTGTGCTTCCAGGACTTTAATTCAATTTGCATTTGTAATTTACCTGATAGTTCTAGCCATGGGTTTTATGGCCCCTTGTGGTTGTATGTTATTCTAAAGTGGGAGTGTTACATGTTGCCATTTTTAAGTATAACTTCAAATGGATTTAGAGAGGCTCCTGTGGCTTTTCTCTGGGTTTAATAAATTAGTTACTTATTGTTGCTCCTGGGGAAGCTGATGCTTGCAGTGAGCATCTGGACTGTGAGGCACGAAAGAGCTCAACCATCTGTCTTAATTCTTCTTCAGTCTGACGGTTAATCTGTTAGGACTCTCTGGAATGAGTGCATCTTTTTGGATGCAGATCTTATAAAAGTCAGTTTCTTGCATCACTGGTATGAGCCAGTTTTCTTATTTCAGTCTGTTTTGTTTTTTGGTTTTTTGTTCTTCTTTTACTGGTGAGTGTGTCAATGAAATGGAGTTTTATGAGGAAGGAATGGTATTTCCTTGGGGTTAAAAAGCTGGTGGTCATTTCTGTGTTGTGTGAATGAGCTTCTGAGATGAATCCTGTTTCTTTGCAGTGGTTCTGGAGCACTGAATTATCTTTCAGCACTTATGCCTGAAGAGCTCTATGTTGGTTTAGCATTGTGATGCTAAAAATCTTATATGACCTCTATGGCTTTGTAGGCATTGCAGTTTGCAACATCCCTTCCTCTTCAGTAGAGGAGACTGCTGACTCTACCCTCTGCCACATCTTGAACCTCTATCGCCGTGTTACTTGGCTACATCAGGCTATGAGGGAAGGGAATCGAGCCTCAAGTGTAGAACAGATTCGAGAGGTGGCTGGTGGTGCTGTGCGTATCCGTGGGGAGACTTTGGGCATCATTGGACTAGGTAAGTGATGGGAATTGTTAAACTGAAAAGTGAACTGTGAAAGTTTCTGGGAATGTGAGAGTCACAGGCTGAAAACAAGTGACAATGTTACAGCTGTTTATTGTGAAATGCACTGACTTGTAAGGAATACCAGTGCCCTGTTCTATGGTGTTGGATATCTTCAAGAGTTGGGTATATGACATGGGATTGGGGATTTATTTTCTATTTTCAAATGGCCAGAAGAATTGGAATATTTAGACAGTTCTTCTCAGTGACTCTTTCCCTGAGTGCTAGGCTCTGTGACAAAGCCACCTGAAAGCTACCAGTTCTTTCCCCAGGTTCATGTAATCATATTATTACTGCTTCTGGCTAAGGGTCTAGATTTGCCTGGAAAAACAGAGCTCCTTCTAGGCTAAGCTCTGGCTATATTGCACGGGGAAGGACTAGAATTAGCCATATGGGATCAGCACTGAATAACCTCCTCTGAATCCCTGTGGCAATCTGAGGGGTTTCCAGAGCTGCGTTACCTTGGGCCCTGGCAGTAAAGTCCAGTGTAGGCTCCCAGTCTACCCCAGTATCTTGTCTATAAAGTTTGTTTTACCTTTCCTTGATGATTGTGGGTTTTCTTTTGTGAAGGCCGAGTTGGACAGGCAGTGGCTCTGCGAGCCAAGTCCTTTGGCTTCAACGTGATTTTCTATGATCCCTATCTGCCGGATGGAGTGGAGCGATCCTTGGGTTTACAACGAGTAGGAACCCTGCAGGATCTACTAATGCACAGCGATTGCATCACATTGCACTGCAGCCTGAATGAACATAACCATCACCTCATCAATGACTTCACTATTAAACAGGTGCAGCAGGAGCTTGATTTCCCCCACAGAACACTGTGGAAATGAATGCAAACAGAAACTGCTGCTTTCACAGAGGCTGAGAGCGTGTGAATCCTGCTGCCTCTGTCATGTGCCTCCTGCTGCTGCCTTTGGGGGCTGGGAGTGTGTGGATCCGGGTACCTGTGCTTTGTGCTGTATAGAATTTCACGTTAGGAGAAGAATAGGATTGGCTCTTCTTGCCAAGTAATTTCACCTATAAAAAAATGCTTTAGGTGATTCAGTAATTTCAAATTACCTTTAAATTGCATAATTAACTCTGGCTGTTAGAGCCAGATGTGCTGTGGCTGGGACTGTGTAAGTTTCTTTACACAGCTCTGTCAGAGCCGCTCTGCCCAAGCCCACTGCAAAATCAGTCTCGGGCTCTGCTCCACTAGTCTATGAATGCTTATCAGTGCTTTCATGTGAGACATCTGGATGCTGTAGTCTGATTTTGTATGGTTCTGAGTTACCGGCTGGGCTTAAACCATGACAAGTTGGATACTTGATTCATGTCCTCTTTTAATTTAGTACGATGAGTATGGAGTGCAGAATTTGAGAGTTCCACTTTTGCCCTTGTCTTGTGACTTTGTTTGTACATTTTAAAAGCAAATTTCTCAAGCATTGCTTGCAGGCATTTCCCTTGTGGTTAGCTTTGCAGTAAGAGCACCCCTAGTTCACTCAGGCCTCATCTAATCCCTGCAGCCTCCTGTTCATTTCCAGTAGACTTCAAAGATTCACTTAGCTTCCATGAAAAGTCTCATTCTCAAACCACTTAATATTTTTGTTCTTCCAGATGCGCCAGGGCTGCTTCTTAGTGAACACAGCCCGGGGAGGGCTGATAGATGAGAAGGCCTTAGCACAAGCCTTGAAAGAGGGGAGAATCAGAGGAACGGCATTGGATGTGCACGAGTCTGAGCCTTTCAGGTAATGTTGCGCCTGCATGCCTACTGCTAGCATGTGACTCACCTGCACTGGACGACTCTTGCTTTTTGATATTTGAGTTATGGTGATACCCAAGAGGACAGATGGGTTATCTGTTTTTTTGTTTCCCTCCTTTCCCACACAGCTTTGCTCAGGGTCCCTTAAAAGATGCTCCTAATGTGATTTGCACCCCTCATACTGCCTGGTACAGTGAGCAGGCATCCATTGAATCCAGAGAAGATGCAGCTAAAGAGATCCGCAGAGCTATTACAGGTAATGAGGAAGACTGTGTGCTCTGCAGCTGTTACTGCAGAGTGTTCTTTTGTTAGCTCACTGCAAGGCTTACACTGCTTGTTCTGAAAACTTAGGCTCAGTAACTGGTATCTAAAACTGGAATGTAAGTTGGTAATTGTCTTGTAACTAATGTTGGAGTGGCGTATTCCCTCCCTGGGAAAGCCTTGTACCTAGCACATCCTTTGCAGTAATTCCTTTGACAGTTATACTGTACACCATTTTTCTGGATCAATACACACTCTCTCTTGGGGAAGGTGAGGTGTGGCAATTGCAGTTTGTGGCAAATAATTTCTATAAGATCACAGAAGTGGGAAGGAAGGATCAATTTCTTGCGTTCTTCAGAGACTAGCTGTTCAGAAGAGTCTCTCCTGCCCAGTGTTACCCTGTGGAGATAGATGGAAAAAACCATGTGTTTCCTTTTTACTTTCCTTTCTGAATGCTTCAGGGGTTGAGCCCTTTCCACTTGAGTCCTGGGTTTTTTTTTGTAATTCTTGGTACTCTTGCAGGTCACATACCTGATGCTTTGAGGAACTGTGTTAATAAGGAGTACTTGCTGCTAGCAGCTCAGTGGTCCAGTATTGATCCTGCAACTGTTCACCCAGAACTCAATGGAGCTGCAGCTTACAGGTGAGATGTGTATTTAGGTTGTACACGTTACTGCTTTCAAGAATAGGCCAGCATCCCTCTTTGGGTTTGAGAATCCAAACTTGTAGCTTCAAGCTGTTGCTGTTTCTGTATGCTCTGTATATGAACTCTTTCCAGAAACTTAACAGCAGCACTTCTGAAGCTGTACGAGGATCTAACATTTACTTGGTCATATTTAGTTCCAGCTGCATACTGGTTCGTTTTCCCAAATCCTTGCAAGACCTGCCCAAGAGATATCCTTATATAAGAAAGCCTGCTTGGTACCAGAAAAAGAGGTCTGGATCTTGAAGATTAGAAGTTGTGTGTATCATTAGAGTTGTATAAACAAAGCACACTTCTCAGTTCTAGCTCAGATATGGAGTATTAAGAGGCATTGTCTGGTGGATTTGGGAAGGGGCCTAAATAAGAGTGTATTTCAGTTTGTCTTGCAGACCTGCCAAGTGATTCTGGGCAGGTTGCTTCCCTTCTGTTTTTCTTCCATCTGCAAAGTAAGACATACATACTCTTCCCTTCTCTGAAACATACAGAGGTTCAGATATATTTCTGGAGAAAGCATAGGGGGGCAGAAAGGGAAGTAGTGGAAGAATAGTTCATTAGCAATTAATGACTGTTGCTGTCCTATTTCTCATCTCGCTTGTAGCTGTTTTTATTAGTTTGGTTCCTTACTTTTTCTGTCTTGGAGTCCAGTGAAGGATAACTGGCAGCTTGTGCTCCTCTACCTGATGGAGAGGGAATTTCTAGCCCTTCACAGTACCTTCACACAACACCTTACACTGTTTTCCACTGGAGATAAACTTTATACCAGTTTTTAAATGCTGAATACATGACCCATCTATGAACGGGTGTCATTAGGATATAACTGCTACTCTTCAGCTCTGGAGATTTCTCCTGTGTTCTGTCACAGAGCATTTCTGTTAGAAAGATGGGTTTGTATCCAGCAGGTGCCTGAGGGCATAGCTCCCTGCCCCTTGAATAACTGTTGGACAACTTTGTAATTTCTGTTTCTGTTGGTTTTAGGTTTCCTCCAGGAGTAGTGGGAGTAGCCACCCCTGCGCTGCCAGAACCGCCAGTAGTGGAAGGGATTGTAGCTCATGGGATCCCTCCTGTTTCCCACCCTGCACCGCGTACCCCTTCCCCAGGAGAGACAAGCAAACTCGATGCAGAGAGAGAGATTCCTGCTGACCAATAGCAGCATCTTTCCTTTCATCTCACAGCAGATAAAAGTAGGAAGGCATCTCTTCCTAGGACCTTCTTTAACACCCTACAGAGACTGTTTCCTGTTCATGCAGGATGGGAGAATGCATTTCATTACTGGCAAACTTTAGCTCTTGCCTTTATTTTTTAACCCTTTAGTTTTAATCCCTCAATCTTTTCCCTTCCCTGGGGCAGGGCAGCAGTGACCTTGCCTCCTCTTGGAAACACTTAGTTTAACAAATGAATTTTCCCATATATCTACCCTAGTTGTCTGTGACAGGGAACTGGCCTTGTGGGGTCAAACACTGAAGTGGAGCTGTCTGATCAGGAGTGGCCCTCAAGGTTCCCAACACCAGAGTTCAGTGCACACCTTTCAGTTGTGACTTGTAGCTTAAGTTTAATTTGGTTAAACCTCTTGAGTGTAGCCATGGGGAATACTAGGAAAATACTAGTGAACTGGAGAAGTTGTGACTACTGTCTTTATTATGCCCTTGGTAGAATGCGGTCTAGGCTCAGCTGTGTGTGTTACTTTGCTTGTTTTAATTAAGGTTTCCTGTGAGAACAGGCATTGCTCAGTGTTGACCATACAAAGTTCAGTCTGTGCAGTACCGGCCTGAGGTTAAAAGTAACAGTCTCAAAGCCAGCCCTGTAAATAATTTGGAAGGGATTAAACTGTCATCAGATATGTTGTGACCACTGTGTGTGTGAGGCTTCAGAGTAGTTCACCCTGGAGTCTCTCTAACTCAGAGAAGAGTTAAAGAATCCGGAAGTGGGAAAAACTTGCCCTGGGAGACAGCAGGTAGCAGTAACTTGCAACTGCAGTTGCTTGTTCCTCACACACAGGTACCTCACAGTCTGATGGTGGCGGTTAGCCACAAGGTAGCAAGGTATCTATTATGTTAGTATTCTAAGCTTTGTGCTACAGTTTGGTTGTGGGTTGTTGTTGGTTTTGGTTTGGGGCTTTTTTTTTTTTCCCATAACTGCATCAACTAGAAGTAACGTAGCACTGGTTCCTATGCTGATGGAGAAGGCAGCTTTCACTGGTTGAGCAAATGACACTAGCTCTGCCACAACACATTGCATCTCCAACAGTGGGCAGGGCAGGACAGTGGTGTTTTGGTTGGGGTTTTGTTGTTGTTTTTTTTTTTTCTTTCTTTTTTACATGAGTAAGCTTTGGGATACTAAACGAGAAAGAACCCTCTTAGCTTGTCACTGGAAGCCAAGGCAGGGTTGTTGCTGCCAGGAATTTTCCCATTTCCCAAATGATTGAGTATGAATCACTTCTTTGAGGGGGATGGAGCAAAATGGGTTCCACAGGAGGAGATTATCCTTAATTCCACATCTTCCTTTAATTTTACCTTGTTACACTTTAGCTATAGCCTTTCCATGCACAACATGTAACAATTCACAATTGATTTGTTTATGTTGTGTGGGCCTACTGAAGTCGGTGCTATGTGGGAGGCATCCCCTGTGTGTGGATTGGTTTGCCTCTCTGTTGTGTGTCTGTGACTGGAAGCTGAGCAGCTAGGAATAGACTGGAAATACAGCTTGAGGTATGGACACGATCCTCTCGTTGGGCTGTTTGGGAAGCTGAGGAAAGCTTTCACAGTCACTAAGTTTTCAGGGTTTTGATTTTTTTTTTCCTGGTTTTAAATTTTTCTCCAACTGCCTTCATATAATGGCTTGCTACTGATGCAGTGAAGTGATTAATTCCTTTCCCCTCCAACCCCTCACACCTCACAATTCAAGAAAGGAAAATGAAGAAGTAAACTTCAGGTGTTTTCTTACAGATTTTACACTTTAACTGTTTAGCATTAGTGAGATGATATTAGTTCTCTAGTGCTGAGTGTCTTTTTTGATAAGGTGTTTGTCTTGGTGAAGGTTCTTCACTTCTATGTTTTCATGGATGATGCTGATTCTACTTAAAATTCATATACCTCCTTGGCAGCTCAGGTTTAGCAGATGAGACTGGGACTGGTGGAAAATAACCAGCAGCACCTTCGTAAGTTCTCTAACCTCTAGGAAATCAAAGTTTTACAAGCTACTAGCTCAGAAAGCTGTTCTGACAGGCAGATGGGGAATAGTTTTCAGGGCCTGAGAGCTCATCCTTTGTGTATTACCACAATCTGTCAGTAACTGCTCTTTCATTAATCGCTGCTGAAAATTCCTGCCCTGCTTAGAGGTTCAGGTCCGAGATAATTCTGTGGTAAGGGGCTTCTAGTTATGAGCTTTGTGACTACGGAGAATCGGAGTACATTGACCGTGTCTCTTCTAGAGCACAATTCAAGATCTATTTTTTTTTTAAAGAGGCAGCAATTTATTTCTTTTCTTTTTAACTTCAAATTTCTCTATAGACCAATCAACTGAGCAGAGGAAGAGTGGAAAGATCTCATCTGGGGGACACCTGAGTTTCTCAGTTCTTACTTTTGGTGCCTAGACATACTGGTGGCTAGTAATTCCCTAGTGGGAATTGATTGATGTAATATTTCCAGCTATGGGTACTAAGGAATTGAAGGTGGCAGCACTGATAGTGGTTTTGTTCTAGCCAACACTCTGTAGGCTTGTGCTTGTATATGAAGGCAATTTTCCCCCTGATTAAAGCTGCAGCAGAAAATACTGAGGTAAAAACAAACAGAACCCTTATCATGACCTCAAAGAAGGACAAGAGCTCTCTTTGTGTGTATAGGATTATGTTGCTTATACAGCATTTGTCCCTCTACCTATAGACTGAATCTGTTATTACCAGACAAAGGCTATTCTGAACAGATAGCACACAAAAAAAAAAAAAAAGAAAAAAAAGATTTCCAGTACTTAAGTACTCTGTGGTCTTCTCCATCCCCGAAGTGCCCGGGCCATTGTCCAAGCTCTCATGTGTGACACTCGGATTTGCAGCTTCCTTCCCAAGCTGTTGCAGGTTACAGAAGTGGAAGGATTGGTATTTATTTTGTTTGTTTTAATGCCTTCCTTCAGAACTAGTGCAGAGCTTTAATCCCAAAGAACAGAAATCTGGCAGGGTGAGGCAGGAGTGTCCTAGCTGCACTAATCTGCTTACAGGAGGTGCTCACACTGTCCTAAGGTACTTTCTGTTTTATCAAGGTCACTGCTGCTGACCAGCTTTTTTATAGAGGATTCAGAGTTTCAGAAATATATTTTTGTAGACAATGACTAAACTGTGAAACATTGAAATAAAGCATGTAAACTAAACCTTCCAGCACTGTCCTCTGTACAGCTGTTTTTCTCAATTCAGTTCTCTCCTGCCTCATTAGAAAATGTTTGATTACCTTTTTGGATATATTTTAATAAAGTTCTCTAAAGAACATGACTGCTGTCTATGGAAGGGGTGGCCTTACCTACAGAAAGTTTTGAGCTGCCCTTGATGCAAGTCTTAGTATCTTATCTGTGTGACACATCAGGAATAAAATCACACTGTAAAGAGTACAGATGATGGGATGAAATCATGAAACGCACTCTGAGGACAGGTGCATTGTACAAACTGATATTTGGTGCTACCTTGCCCATTTCCCAGTGAACTGCATCCCCTAACCAGGAATTGACAAAGATAAAATGTTGTCATCTACTTAAAACTGCCTGGTACAATTTCTTTGAATAAATGAAAGCGAAAGAAAGCAACTTGCCTTTGCTGCTGTTAATTCAGTGTCATATGTGGCACTCCCAGAGCAAGGAAGTATTACGTGTGCAAGTAAACTTATTTCCACAAGAATCTCCTTGTTCTGGTATGGAAGATAGCATCTGCTCCCGATTCCAGTGTCTGTCAGTGCTACTGTGTCTTCACAGTGCAAGTAGAGAGATGTGAAGTTGTGTGTCATTTTTCTAAGTGTTGGATCCTGAAGGATTCTGTGGTTGCCCAAATACACCAAAAAGGGTTGGGTTTAGGGCATTATGCTATTCTACATGAGAACTGTTCACACGTATCAGCTCACCACGACAGACACATACCATTAGCAAAACAATTTTGTATCTTAATCGCCTCCTAAATAAACGCCTTTTCAAACTGCCTCACTGACAAGCGAAGCCCCGGACCTGTGAGGCACTGCTGTTACTCTGGGCCAGCAGCAGCTCCTCCTGCCAGCCCGCACCTGGATCCCGCACCTGGAACTGCCGAGCGAGGTTTTGTCTGCGTTCACCTCCGTAACAACTCCCGGGGTAATTCCGGAGCCTGAACTCGTCGCTACGAGTGGTCCTGCGCCTGCTGCGGTTCCTCGCCACCCGTCCGGCCCGGCTCCCCCAGCTGCTCCCACGCCCCTCACCGCCTTCAGAGCGCAGGTCTCCGACGCCCTCTGGGCGGGGTGGCGCGGGGCATTGTGGGGCAGAGGAGGGAGGGGAGGGGGGGGGAAGCTGTGTGGCGCGGTGCATGCCGGGAACGGGGCGGGCGGCGCTCGGAGGCCCAGTGCGGGGCAGGCGCTTGCTCGGTGCCTCGGTGCGGCGGCGACCAACGGCGGAGGAGGCTCCTGCCCGTCGGGAATGGCGGACGCGGCGGCCTCCCCCGTGGGGAAGCGGCTCCTGCTGCTGCTGGCAGCGGGGCCCGGCGAGGGCGAGGCGGTGGGGCCGGAGCCGGGGCCGGGGCCGGGGCCGGGGCCTGCGCTGCCCTCCCGGGCCTGGCGGAGCGGCACGGTGCGGGCCATGAGTGGAGCCGTGCCCCAGGACCTGGCGGTGAGGCCCCGGCGGTGGGGGCGGAGGGTGTTGGGACGGGGACGACGGGCAGCCGCAGGCGGGGCTCTGCGGGTCGGGCCGCCCGCGTGGGCCGCGGCCTCCCGCCGCCGTGCAGGGCTGCGGGCGAGGCGCCGGGGCCGCGGGGCGCCTCCTCTCGTGTGCGGGTCGTGGCAGCGCTGTGCTGACTCCCCGCGGTCGGCCCGGAGTCCCCGCTGGTCCTGCCGGGACGCGCTCCGGGCTGAGGGGCGGCGGGGCCGGTCTGCGGCGCGCGCGGTGGCGGATCGGTCCTGGAGCTGCCGGGACACGGGTCTGCTCAGGGCGGAGCGGACCCAGTGGCCTCGGGTGCAGTGGTTGGAGGTAACCGACGTGTGAAACTCGCGCCTGGGAGGTTTCTGCTTTTTGGTGCTGATCCATCTGTATGTAACTCATGAGCGCTGGAGTTTATTTTTCCCCGGTAAGATACAGAGTTTTCTCGAGCAGCCCAAGTGACGCTCTTTTTTGAAGGTGTACTTCTGAGTGGGGATTATCAGTTTCATTCTGTCTCAGATTTTATTTTCAGCTGTAGGAGTTCGTGTTTCATGTACAGTCTTTAAACATATATAGTGTTTAAACAGTCTTTGGCACTTACTTGGTTTGCTTCTAGTTGTCCTGAGTTCAGGACAAGATAATAGCACAAGTATAGCTCAGTGAAATGCTTGTGTGGAGATGTTAAAAAGAGCTCTCAAGAAATGCCTATGCTGTATGTCTCTTTGCTTATGCCAGTTCTGCAAGTACTTGCTGTGAGCAATGGTATGCTTCAGAGACCTGGTGGTATGCTGCTGAGAACTGTGGTTAGACCCACGGGGGGAAGGTGTGAGGTTCTGTGTTTGTGAAGGGTCTTGTTAGTTCTCTTTTTGATGACCTTTATTAAACATTTGTTGTTACTACTGTAAGTTCTTTGGGTTTCTTTGCAGAGTTCCAATTTTGGGAAGTTGCCTTGACTTCCTGCAGTGATGCTGATTTCTTTGGCCTTGT